CCCTCCAGACCCAGTTGAATTTGGTTTAAATTTGCCAAGCTCTGTATGTTAATTGCGCAATTCTGATTGGCTGAAACTGCATGGGGGTAGGGCAGGATGTTAACTTTGTCCAAGTGATGCGTTGTGCAATTTTTTCCTACCGGTAGGAAAATATTTTAATAGTCAATAATTTTGCCTAATAATCATTATGTGGTTTTTATGTGACAAATCTATAACGAATATCTGTGCAAAACTTCTCAATCATTTTTTTAAAAATCATTCTAATAAAAAAATTAATTACTACATCAAAATCAAATTTCATGAATTGTTACGATGTTTTTGTGCTCAAAGACCGCCACAATGTTTCTTGTGAAAAGCATTTTTTTTTCATGAAATCCATATATGGGGCATAACCGCGTTCTTATTTTTATGAGTCGCACAATTGTGTAACATTTCTGATTTATGCCTCACAAAAATGCACTGATGTTATAGATAGCTCAAATTCGCACAGCAAACTCTCGGTAGCAACAAATCTCGACTTATTTTTTGGGACGCACAAAAAGACGCGCACATTTTGTTGGTCGCGCTAAGTTGCTACTTAAGCAATTTGGCTCGCAACAGTCACAACTCAACGATTTTGTATCGCTATGGTCGAAAAAATCAATGGTGAAAGGTTCCTATTGTGCATGCTAAGCGCTCTGATCTACGCCCTCGTTTTAGCAGAATAAGTCACTTATTGCCTTAAGGCCTGAATTTTGCGGAGTAATCACTAATCTTTTTTCAATGTCAAGATTGTCAAAGACAGAAACAATTCTTCCTCAATTGTGACATTATTTTTTTCGGCTCTCAATCTCATTAAAACATATTTTCTAATTATAAATTTTTATTTCAATAAGTTAAAGCTGTTCATTTACAACGTAAGAATCAACTTTGTGGTTCGCAAAAAATATGTTGCCATCAAAACTGCGTAAAATAATTTGAGCAATCGGCTCCAAGAAAAAATAGGCTGAAAATTACTTGAGCGCCATTTTTGCAGGGTCTCTAGCGCAACTCGTGTGCCTGTGATTCCCTACCAGCCAAACAACCCCGCCTCCCAAGTGAATGCTCTCAAGTCAGCCTATCTGATGGCAGGGGGACATGACTCCAACCTAGTGCGACAGATGAACGAGACTATGGGGGATGCAGTGGCCAGACAGGCGGGCATGGGAATGGGAGTGGGGGCTACTGGGGAAAGATTTGGACCGCAGACTTACATGGGGGTGGTGGAGCCGACGATGCCCCCTGCAGATACACTTAAGGTCAAAACTCAACATATCATTGAAAATATTTTTTTTCTTCCAGTTCAGAGATTTTCGAACAGCTATCTGTTTAGCAAATCTATCTTTGTTGATTGCCATCAGGGGCGGATTAAGGAGGGAGGACGCCCTCTTCTTTAGAAATCTGTCCATAAAAACTAATAATGCGTCCCCGCTTTGGTCATTTAACATAAGTTTTTTAACTCAAACTCTTTGTTCCTGGAGAGAAATTTCGAGGTGTGGAAGTTTTAAGCTGTGAAATATTAAGGTTTGAAAACGCGTCTTTTTTGAGGCCTATGAAAAGGTGTGAAATTGGATTCAATTTATTACTCGAGGCTGGTACCTGCTAACAGGTGCCTGACAATTCGCCTCATTCACAGTATTTATGCCCCGATCAAAAATACCGTGCTCATTTCAAAATCTTCTCCACTGGACTTCACACTGCACTCTGCACTGGACCCTGGACTTCAGTTTCAACCTTCCAAATGTCAGAGCAACCTGCTTCCAAGGACTCTGAAGCGTCCCTCTTCAAGACGCTCAAGGCCATCTTTACCAGTGGACCAAAGAAGTCACCAACCTCATCCAGTGCATCAACTCCTCAGCTTGACAATCCTAGGGCATCATTTCCTGAGACGCGCATACCTAGTCGTTTAGCCACTATAAAAATTGAAACTCTTCCATCATTTAGTTCCATATCTCCGCTCTCTGATCAACTTCTACATCCTCCATCCTATATTGATATCGGCATCTCTAACCTCAGCTTACAGGACTGGGACATCATGTTCAAGCTACTGGACAACGCCAACAAATCCACTCATAATTTTAGCCATTTGATCTTAACAGGAAAAACACAAAAAGCGAACACTTGGCCCCAACAGCTGGAAAAGTACCAATTCCTAGCCTACTCCAAGATCCAAGAAAAACTTTACTGCCGCTTTTGCTTCAGCCTTGCCGACCTGCAAGAAATATTGAAAGCAGGGGCTCAGCAGAAATTCACCTTTTCAATTTACCGTTCAAGAAGTATGCACGCCTCTCAAATTACCTAGATCCAATTCAAAACACAGTTCATCACAAGAAAGCGCAGGAAAAAGCAGAGGCCTTCCTTGATTCTGCCAGACACCCAAACAGGAACAATGATGTGAAATTGGATCGAGCAGTTGCAAAAGAAATGGAGAAAAACAGGAACATTCTGGCCCAAATAGTCAGCACAATCATTTTCACTGCCCGTCTGGGGTTGCTTTTAAGTGGCCTCCGAGATGATGGGGGTACATATGGTTCCAACAAATTTGCTTCAAATTGAAGTCTCCAGTTCGAAGCAGCAAGTGGCGATCAAGTCGCTGGATCGACATTTGGAGACCTACAGAAGAAATACATCCTACATCAGCTATTAATTTCAGAATCTTCTCAACATTTTTGGGAATAATATCACTCTGGATCATTCTGGATGAGTTGAACGGCACGATGCTGTTCTTATTTTTTTCATCAGCTCAAGCCTTCCATTGAAGCTACATAGAAGACATCAGCAATTGGCCTGGGAAGCGCTATGATTCCGTCTGCTCGGCTTATCTGGCTAGCATGATGCGATCAGAGTTCCTGATTGTACTGATGACAATGGAACACCTGCTAGGAGTGACTAAAGCTACCAGCATTGCTATTCAGGGGCCTTCGCTAGAACTGCCTCAGTCGATGAATCACATTGAGACTTGCGTCAACTCTTTCAACTGGCGCAATGATGAAGGTGGTGGCAGCTACAAAAAAGTTCACTCTGACACTGCAAAAGTTGGTGATGTTCACATAGAGGCTCGAAGATGCAGACCTCCCAAAGCATCATTGGCTTTTGATCACTTCAGATAGACTGTTTACGTATCCTTTTCTGACTTTGTGCATATATCCACAATGCCAATAATTTTGCTTTGATCCAAATTGGTACTACAATCAAACTTGACGCTGTTTTTCAACCTCAAAGATGTGGAAATCAAAGTCGGGAATGTCATTGACAGATTCGCTGCAAAAAAATCGAAAACTCAATTTTGTTTCATTTCATTTGTTCAATCATTGTATATAGTTTAATGTTTTTATCAAAATTATCTCAATCGCCCCACTCAAGAAAAGTCTAGATCCGCCTTTGATTGCCTTAATATAAAATGAGTGCGTTTTTTTCCGTGGCTATACAATGAAAAAGTCTTCTCAGCATTACCTCCATATCTTTGCTCAAACCATTTTTTGATTTTTTTTCTGCGCAAATAGTTTCGAATTATAATCGGATCTACTCCAGATGAATAATATTTTGTTTTTAACAGTTTCGTTGCTTCAGCTGCTGGAGTTTGAGAAGGAGAATAGACTGATAATGCACGAGTTAGAGCTGTTGAGACACAAGCGCACAACAGGTGAAATAAAATATTTTAACCGTTGCCCTCACGTACAAAACGTTTTTACATGGCTGAGTTTTTGCAAACAAATGACAACTCGAGCCGGAACTTCAATCAGCATCTTTTTACCAAATGCCGTATCCGGTATCAAGTCCGGTCAACCCCGAAAATTGACAGTAAAGCAGAAATCGAAATTGATTCTCTTTTTTTTACCCAACCATCCCCCTCCTTCCCGCCCAGTCTAATGAGCTCATTTCTTTTTACGATTAGTGTTTTCTTTTTCTTTTTCTTGGCAAGATTGACTACAGATTGATTTTTTGGTCAATACTATTTTTCTTTTGGAAATGCTCTAAAATTCACGTTTACACCACTCATAGTCATTCGCCTCCTTACCCCCACCACGTATATCCCTCCTCTTCATCACCCACCTCATTTACCAACCCTCGCCTGCATGCTTTGCTCTCCTTAACCCCACCCCCACCCCCTGTAACACTTTCCTGTTACCACCACCACCCCCATGCTACCACCCGTTCAAATATGTATATTGGTGGCTGTGGATTTTGGGGAACAGTGGGAGTTTGCGAAAAGAACTGAGGTCGAAGGAATTACAAAACGTAATTCATCGTAAAATGATATTCAATTTCTGAGTGAGACAACAAACTAGCATTCAAAAAGATGTTAAAAACTGAATATAATCGATCAAATGTGATTAAAATGGATTATGTTTCATGCAAAAAAAGCTACAGAGTAAAATAACAGAGTATAATCAATTTTTGAGTTGAAAATAGTAATATTAGAACTCATATTCATCAACTAAAGGCGGTTAACTTTGAATTAAAGAGAAACCCACTGTAGGAATCCAATAGCATTTGCTTATTTTCTTTGAAACTCGGTAGTTTTCTTCTACATCCCAACCCTCATAATTTACTGAATTTCCTCCATTATGGAAAAAAATCATTGATTGTGGTGGGAACTTTCTGTGCCTCATGCTCAGCAACTGGTAATTTTTGCACGTTATTTGAACAATCTAATAACAATCAGGCATAAGCAACCCGCTCAGTTTGAACATAGTTAGCAAACTTGCTCAGCACAAAGTAAATCATTTTGCTTTCTTTGTTTTGCCAGGAAAGGAAGGTATTTGAGATGAAATCAGAGGTACCAGGGGCGAGTTCAGCGACTCAAGTTTCAATCAAATTAGGTCGCCGAATTGGACTTTCTGTCACCGAAATTTCATACTCGCGTAACAGGCTTGAGTCACACAAAGTCGCAACATGGGCCGCGCAAATTCACAGCATAGCTAAAAATGGGTCGCGCAAAGTCGCAATATAGGTCGCGTAAAACTGCAACATGGGTCGCGCAATGATAAAAATTCGCGCAATGGGTCCCGCAATGATCAGTTGAAGTAATTGCAATAATAGGAATCGCATTCTTGTAAGTAATATATGTTGGAGCAACTCAGTCTCATGTATTGAGAGACAGGAAATAGAGTATCCGGTCGACACCCTGTGAATTACGATGGGAATAGATTTACCAATGTATCATGATAGGTTATAGGTTTCAGATGGTGAGATGATAAGTTCAAAAAAATTGGCGCCCGATTTTGCCGATCAGCAATGTTGAGGATTCCAAACGAGATTGATGATTTGGTTCAGCTGCTAAAATTTTTCTAGTTAACAGCGAACAACCAACAATTTTCAGACTAACTTTTGCATTATCGGATATGATGTAAAACTTGGGTCTTGCTCAAATTAGTTTTGTTTGAAACTTGGTGGTTGGTAATAAAAAAATTTTAAAGCAAAAAAATCAGTGGCAAGCCTCCCATAGACTGAAAAAAATATCTCTGTTCCTAAAGAGTCTGCTCTATCAGTGCATATCCAATGCTTCCGGAAACTCTTCAAGACAATATATATGACCAGCAAGAGTTTCTTTTTTCGTTTGATACTTGTGCTTTTATGTGAATATAATCCATTGGCGTTTTAAATCATTGTATTTTTAAAATGAACTTTACAATTTGAGAATAGAACACATAGTAGACTGTTCACATAATTTTAGTCAGGTTCTGATTTTGCTTAAAATTCTAATTTTTTGAAAGCACAAACAACGTTGTTTTTTGAAAATTGAAGCTTTATGCTCAGTTGAGCAATATGCATATCCAAATAGAGACTCCGATCTGTCTCAAATTCAAACTCAATATTGTTTCCTTTCCACCTACAGAAATAAAGGAAAATATTTCTTGTGTTTAAGGAGAAATATTTGTTTCCAAAACTGGGACTTAAACCAAAATCTCAAAAAAAAAGTTTGCAAAATTCCCGTACCGAGAATGGCTTCTTTGAGTTAATCTCATTTTTCATTGTCAAAAATATATTTGCGAGATCATTTGTTTTTGACCTGCTCCTCGGAAATGGTTCTACTAGTTCTACGCATGATTTTTTTTTCAACACTCTAATTATTTTCGAACTGTTTTTGTTCCAACATCTTTTGCAAACGATTTTTTTCGTCCACTTACAACTTCTCCAATCTCTGCAGCTACAATTTCATATAACCCTGCTACAGTTTTTTTGCAGCTTGACTACATTTTATTGAAAACATTTGATTTCTTCGGAAACTTCTGATTGATGGTCCAAATTTTGTATACGATATCTTGGTTTGCAAAACTGTTTTCCTTTTTTGATAAATCGCTGGCTTAGATCAAGTTCTGCGTAGAACAAAACGCGAAAGAACCCCTAGAATGCAGTCTTTTAAGTTTTACTTTTTCAGATTTTGAACGAGTCCCCAGTTATTCTGTCTTTTGCCTTGACATACTTGTTGTTGCTTTTAATTTTAAATGGATTTTGAATTGCTTGCAAAACGTTAAAATAATTATCTGATATTTTTTGCTTTAGTGCACACACAACGTCTGCAGTAGATTCTTTTGTATCTCGATTATCTAATACGATCTTGTCTGACTGGCTCAGTTTATTTCCAAAAGAACCCAAAACTACATCAACAAGATACTTGTTGTTACTTGTTTGGAACCTTGCATTAACAGCGGGGTAAATTGAATCAAAAAATTTGGATGCAGCCTCCCTTTTTCTGAATTTTATGGTACCGTTTTTTTTGGGAATTCGGTTTGAAATTGATGTACTGAGAAATGAAATAAAACAAACAGTTCCACACCAAGTCAATCTTTTTATGAAAAGTGGAGCGATGTTAGATATCAGTTGTAACCCTTTAACTGAACTTGAACGAGTCTTTTTTCTGTGCAGAAGAGCTTTTCTTTGTAATAGTTCTGATTTTTTCCCGGTTTTTTACTACTTCTCTTTTCCGATATCCTGAAAATGTACTCACAAGAGGTTAATCAAATGCTCAGTAACTGTATGAAACTTTTGGGCAACTGAGAATGAGCTGTTTTTGAAGTTATAGGGAAATTTTTCGGAATGTTGGCGGTATATAGACGTATTGTGCACTCCTTGTCCGAAAACGTTGTGTCTGTTTGCATCTTGATACCACTCTTTCAATTGAGATCCTAAAACTAAATGTTGACCTGGTTTATAGATTTGTAAAACACCTCATGGTAATTCTAACAAAATTATGTGTGTGTTTGTTTTAAAACTCTACATCTCTTTCTTTTTTGCTTTGATGAAACAAATTGTGTTAGGTGTATAAAATAACCAGACCACTGTGTCTTCCAGCAGGTGTTAGATGTAAAATATAATCAGACCCCTGTAACTTCCAGTAGTGGCATAGTGTAAAATTTGTTTAAAACTTGAAATTTGTTTAAACGAACCATCAAGTAAAAGTAGATTCTTAAATCCTTTATTGGAAAAATTTTCCAATAGGTCAAAGTCTAATCCTTCAAAAATATTTAAGATTTTTTCTTTGCATTTGACTATAAAGAGGCTTTTAAGATTGATAAAAGTATAACTTTTTTCTCAAAAGAAGATGTGATTTTCCAGATACACCTTGACAAACTAGAGAAAAAACTGAATTTTTGGTAGCTATTTTTTTATTTATAGCTTTCGAGAAGGTAAATCATAACCAACAGTACTGTCGTTTCTCTATTTTGTGGATAACAATATTCGAGCGATTGCACATAATATCACCAAAACTGAAACACAAAAGTGGCACCAAAAAATTAAAAGTGATCTATTGCATGTACGTCTAAGCAATTGTCATGATTTTTGTTCACAATTTTCTTCATAAAAAACAAAAATTTTTCTAATTATACAAGTTTAACACATTGATCAACCATCTTAGCTCTAGAAAGAAAAGTGTAAAAACGATTCAATGAAAAGTAGATTGAAAGAAAAAAATTGAAATTTAACTCGCCAAGTCAATCATATTGATTCCCACAGGTCCTCAAATTGAAAAAAATAATGTACAAAAGTTTGCGCATGACCAATTAATACAATTACATTTTTCTTGAAGAAAAGAACAAGTTTAAAAACCAAGCACTTTCAGTCATCATGGGAGCGTAGAAGTAGCTTTAAAAATCCAAACTTTTATCGCAATATCATTAAATGTTGGGAAAGCACAAATGCAGTTCCAAAAGATCGACCAAAAAACAATGAAAGGTACCCGTTTTGTGACGAAAAGTTCCTTGGGTAAAAAACGAGGCTAAATTGTTTTCTGATTCCAACGCTTATCCTATGGATTCAATGAAACAAAAGAAAATGAATCGCAAGTCAATCATATTGAGCCCCACAGATCCTCAAAAATGAAGAAAAAAAAATGCACAAAAAATATGACCATTAACTAGTAACAGAAACAAATTTTTCTTGAAAAGTTGTTTTTACAAAACCTAAGCTTTTTCACAAACCCCTGGCATGTATAAGTAGAATTAACAACCCAAAAATTTATCGATATATCATGGAAATGTGTGAGAGCCCAAGTAAAATTCCAAAACGTCAATCAGAAAACAGTGAAAAGTACCTGTTTTGTGAAAAGTACCTGCAAAATGTATTTTATTTCCAACGGTTAAAAAAGAAAAATTTTCTTATTTCCAACGATTTAGTTCCTAGGAAAAAAGAAACTATAAGAAAAAATGCGAATGATCTGTTAACCTACTTACACATATTTTTCTTGAAAAATAAGATTAAACTTAGAAACCAAGTGTTTTCAGGCATCACTGACACGTATAGGAAGCTTTATCAACCCAAAAAAGCATCGCCGTATCTTTAAAAGTTAGTGAGAGCTCAATTAAACTTTAAGAATTTTGACTGAAAACAACGAAAAGTATCCGATTCGTGACGAATAATTCTTTGGTACAAAACTAACCCAGCGCAAGTTGCGTTCTGTTTATTACGCTTAACGCGTAGATTCAATAAAATAAATAATATTTTGCTCGCCTTGACAATCATATCGACTTCTAGTGGTCCTCAAACAAACGTGCAAAAAATGTGCGCATTAATTATTAACAATCTTTTTCAGGAGTTATTGGCGCGTATAAGTAGCATTAACAATAAAAAGGTGTGAGAGCTCAAGTAGAATTCCTTAACCACGATCAAAAACTGTAAAAAGTACCCGTTTTCTGGTGACAAATTCATTTGGTCGAAACCAACCTACCGCAAATTGTATCCTGTTTTCAACAATAAGCATGTGGATTCAATGCAATGATCTTGAATGCCACAGATCCTAGGAAAAAAGAAACTATTAAAAATATGCAAAAAATCTATTAACACACATACAAAAAGTTTTTCTCGAAAATTAGGATCAATTTTTGAAACCAAGCGTTTTCAGGCATCATTGACACGTATAGTAAGCATTATCAACCCAAAAAAAGCATCGTTTGATCATTAAAAAATGTGAGAACTCAAGTATAATTCCAGAATCTTGACTAAAAATAGTGAAAACTACCCGAAATGTGACGAATAGTTCATTGGGACAAAAACAACCCAGCGCAAATTCTGTTCTGTTTCCTATGCTTGAAGCGTAGACTCAATAAAATAACTAAAATCTTGCTCGACTAGACAATCGGAATAACTCCCACTGGTCCTCAAAAGAATGTACAAAAAATGTGCGCTTAATCTAATAAAAAAAAACATTTTATTTTAAAATCAAAATTTCGAAACCAAGCGTTTTCAGGACTCATTAGTAAGTAAAAGTGGCAATAAGAAAGCAAAAAAATCATCGCTTTATTGTAAAAAAATATGAGTGCTCAAGTTAAGTTCTATCACCTTGACCAAAAAACAGTTAAAAGTACCCATGTTGAGATGACAAATTCTATAAATCAACAATAAACCAGCGAAAAATGTATACTGTTTCCAACGCTCAACTTTGAACAGTGCAATCACCTCAAATCTCAAAGGCGCTCAAAGATATGCGAAAAATATGCGAAACAAAAAATATGCGAAAATATAACACACAGAAACACATTTTCCTCGAAACAAAATCATTTTATTCTTAAAGATTGTGAGAGCTCAAGTAAACAAGCCATAATATTGACAAAAAACAGCCAAAAGTACCCGGTTTGTGACGATAAGTGCATTGGGACAAAAACAGCACAACGGACAAAAACAGCCCAACGTGTGTTCCTCTTCTACGCTTAAAGCGTGGATTAAATGAGATGAATCAGTTTTAGATTGCGAAGACAATCACATTGACTGCCACAAGTCCTTAAAACGAAAATAAGCTAATGACCCATCAACGAACAGAAACACAAACATCTTGAAACAGAGATCCTATTTCAGAATCAAGCACTTTCAGTCCACAATGACACGCACATGTAGCATTATCAACCCCAAAATGCATCGCTTTATCATTAAAAAAATGTGACAGCTCAAGTAAATTTCCCATACTTCGCACAAAAAACATTTATACAGTTCATTTATTTACAGGACTTAGGTTTTTTTATTGGTTGTTACAGCTGCTCGGACAACCAGAATCAAGAATATAAAGGAGCAGTTTTTGATAATTGCTTTGAAGCATAAGTGTACCATATTGGCCAAGATTTCTCGTACAGTTGTGAAGCGCCAAAAGTTCTTTTTTAGCCTCTTCTCAATCCTCGAGTCAAGGTAGTTAACCTCGAGCCAAGGTAGAATTGCGGGTTGTAACCTCAAGGATAATATCTCCTTTTTTAAAACTCACTAGCCAGTCTCTTGTTCCCTTAAATTATGCCATTGCCTCCTTAACAACAGTAGCGCCTTGTTCTTGCCTCGTCGGGTGCACAGAAACATCGTTTCCCCCGAGCCAGACCACGACCACTTCCGCGCTATCAATAGCCGGCCGAAGAAACTTGTGCTAAGTTTTGCGTATCTTTGCTCCAGAGATACCAAAAACTTTCGTGGGTGGGCTGAAATGGCCCCCACTTTAGCTATCAGCAAGACGTGGCTATCCTAAATGACAAAGGTCTTTGGTGGTACTACCTCCCATTTGGGGTTCACAATATGCACACCTCAGTTTTCTTTCTCCTGAAAGGGTTCACACATATCCATCATAACCTGGTAAAACCAAAAACCTCGTTTTTCTTTCTGTGTGTTTAACGTGTATTTTGTTATATATCATCTATATATTTTCTTATCATAGCACTAGTAGGTCCAGGCTGGTCCTTGCCAGTTTTCTAATGAAAGAGAGCTAAATTGAAAAATCTTGGATCACAAATTTACTGCATTCTAATTTTACAGCATGCTGATTATAATCATAGTATATATTTTCAATGCTTGCTTAGAACATCTTCCAAGCAGAAGCCGACTGTTGCCACGATAATCTCTGTTTAAGTTTAGCAACTTTGCTAAACAACTCTCAAAAAATAAGAATGCTGTAAATATTGTGATCCAAGTGATGATTATTTTTTAAAAAAAACGTGCCAACATCTTCCTATTACAACTTTTAAATCTTGAAACAGATCTCGAGTGATTATCTGGATCTGTAGCACACGCAAAATCGGCATTCACGAAGAAATAGAACAATTAAGAAACATCAAAACATCTGATAATTAAATTGAGACAACAATGAGCTCTCAGAAATTTAAAGTGGTTGAAAATTTTGTTAAAAAACCAGGGACGAGTCAAGACCTTTTAAGTTGGTGCCTCTGTAGTATATGGAAATCGAGCTTTTTTGCCCTAAGAAGGGTTGTGAAGTTTGTCACTTCTTTGATTAAAAATTAACATCTCAACAACCACACCGGTTTATTGAACGAATACATGTCAAAAAATAGGTTCTTTTATTGGTCTAGCGGTGACGATAAACAGTGTTACAAAAAATTCAGCATTAAAAACAAAATTTCAATAGATTCAAAAGTCTGTTTTCTTTCAAAAAACAAACGATTTTTTTTTTTTCGAAAATAGACTTGAACTTTTCAACTGCTGATGAATATAATCATGGGATATGTTTTGAGTGCTTGCTTAGAACATCTTCCAAACAAAAGCCGACTGCTGCCAATTTTTTTGATGAAACCTTTGATTTCTTTGATTTCTGGAACGGTCCCTAGTAGGTGTCCAAGGCTGGTTTTCCAATTTTTCTTTGTCATAAAAAGATAGCGTTGGTTTTTTCTTACGTCGTTACGCTAGGATGAAACATGAAGGAATAAGAGAGTCTTATCTTAATTAAGAAGTATTTTAAAACTTTGAATTCCTGCTAGGTTTCCAGGAATGCCCTGGACCCTTTAAGTTCCTGGCAGGAAAACTAAGGCTTTCTCCTGGCTAGGTAACCCGGGTAACACTCAATTAAGGTGAACCGAGTGAAATTGTTTTTTTTGTTATTAATCAACGAAAAGATGAAAAATTAGGAAGCGTGAGATGAGATTAAATGTGAAACTTTATCTGATTACAGTTTTCAACAATTGACAATAAACTCTTGGGATTAAATAAATACTTTGTTTTTGCTTCAGAGGTGGACATAGTGGAGAAGGCACAGAGGGATCATTATCTGAAGATGATGAACACTCAGCACGAGATAGAGGCACTGAGGGCGGAGGCATACCTCAGACAGATTAGAGACTACCTCAATCCACCAGTACGTAACACAAGATTGTATTCAACAAATGAAACAAAACAAGATTAGCCGGTTATTACGGTCCGACCACACCTTATAGATAGAAGCGTTTTGGTCTTCATTAACTCTTTTCCACCAGGGAAAGCACCAACATACCAGCTGTACAGCTGGTCACGGAGCACCGCTGTTTGTGCGCTGCTGAAGAACTACATGCAACTTTTTGGGTTAGTTTTCTGGGCTGAGTAATGTTACCTCGCCTTCAAGCAACGTGCACGGATTATGGTGGGCCTCGAAATTTCGACCTTTCGATTGAGAGGCGGATTCGTAACCACTTCACCACCGCTCCCCTAAACTTTGGCACTTTTTAGGCGCTCTGTGAGGAGAGAATCAAAAAGAACTAATTAATGACTAACAAATTAAGTCATGGAATTAATTGACTATACAGCTGTTCTTCAAAAGCGCGAATGAAGCTACAAGAACTAGTGTTATTGTGGTAAAAATAGGCGATTAGTCACTCAATTAACAGATTTTAAACAAAAAGTTACTGGCTTGCTTTAATTGCATGAACTTGGACCAAAAATTTCAATTTTATAACCAATTGTTCACAAAATTGGTGTAGATTTTCTTCAGTTTCAATGGTTGATTCATTCAGAACCTTAAGGGCTTTGATTTTTCATACATTTTTCTGATTACTCCATTCAACTATACTTATTACTTGACTCATTTTGATGTTTCCTTGTGATACCTGATTTTGCTTGAAAAAAAAGTGTGTGAAAACAACGGACTGTTTTTTTTTCAATTATAGTAAAGGAAACAGAAACCAATGGGCAAGTCGTGAAACAGAATTTTTTGGTTTCATTCTGATCAGGGAAATTGCTATTGTTAAAAATTTTATTGTTTTGACCACTCTCGAAGAATGGAAACACGCAATGGATTTAGATCCCTTTTTCTTAAGCACTTGAACACCTCAGGATAAACTTGTTGGCACTAGTTTAGCAAATCATATTCAAAGCAAATTGGCCATGATTCATCTTAATTAAACGAAATGTCGCTGCCATTTTTTTTTCAATTTTTAGTCTAAGTTTGACAAAAAAATATTGTGGCTAAGCTTTCATCAACTATAATTGTTCCGACTTCGATACGAAAGTGACGGAATATTTGTGCTCGGGGTGGGTTTTTTTCTTCAGACAAATTTCGACTTTTTAACTAGCCATTTTTGACAGAATTTTTTTACATCATTCGAAAGGCATTGTTGTCCTGAGCTAATTTGAAAAGATATTTTACCTGTGGTCATTTTTCGTAAAGTTACGGGGGTTTAAAAATTGCCATTTTGGCCAATTTGGGACAATTAACGCGCGATATAATTCGCGCTATTAACGCGTTAGCAGAGAGTTAATCCGCATTAGAAATCGTCCCAAATTTGTCAAAAGAAGCTTATGTGCCACAATTGGTTTGTTACAAGGAGCGAAATCTATCCTTTTGTACTTTGTATGGCGTGTGGGGGGATGATTTTCATAAAAAAACTTAGAAAAAAAGTTTTTTGATTTTGTTTTATTTCATTGAATTTTTTAATGTTATTACTGCTCCATAAAACTTAAAAGGCAGTCGGAACATTCAGGGTTTCGCCCTGATACGAGCAGTCTTGTTTTAGCTTACTTTTGACCTGTATAAAGGTATAGTACAGCTTTTTGTAACTTCTGTCACATAACTCAATCGCAATTTTATATTAAAAAAAATAATCAAGAAATATAGACAAAAAATGCAAAAACAATTTGATCTTGTTTTGTTTTCTAAAACAGTTTTTGTTCCGACTTTCGATACGAAAGTAACGGAATATTTGTGCTCGGGTTGGGTTTTTTTCTTCAGACAAATTTCGTCTTTTTAACTAGCCATTTTTGACGGAATTTTTTTAATATCACAGAAGAAATAGCTGGTAAATAGACTATTTTAGAGAACTTAAAACTGGGATGTTTCAAATCTGCGATCTATTTTTTTTGTTTGACCGATACTTCAATATTTTGTTTGTGCTTCATTGTCCAACTTTCCAACAAAATGGTGGCTACACTGACTTTTTAATTAGCAGACGTCTTACTTGCATTGGTGCTTCGTTAATGAAACAGAGCTCAAGACCAAAAACAGAGCAATATTTTTCAAAAAATTAAATTTTGCACATTTAATGTTAAAATTATGTTCATTAATCGGTTTTTTATCGTTGGTCTTTCATTCAAAAAAAGTAAGCATCTATCCATGTTTATTTCATGATTTATTGTTCCGAATTTCGATACGAAAGTAACGGAATATTTGTGCTCGGGGTGGGTTTTTTTTCTTCAGACAAATTTCGACTTTTTAACTAGCCCTTTTTGACAAAAATATTTTCTATCATTCTGAAGTTATTGTTGTCCTGAGCTCAAATTTGAAAAAAATAATTACCTTTGATCATTTTTCATAAAGTTACGGGGCTTTAAAGATTGCCATTTTTTTGGGACAATTAACGCACGATACATTTTGCGCTATTAACGCGTAAGCGGAGAGTTAATCTGTCTTAAAATCGTTCCAAGTTGCTTATTTTCCATAATTGATTTGTTACAAGGAGCGAAATCTATCCTTTTGTACTTAATATTGCGTGTGGGGGGATGATTTTCATAAAATTTTCAAATTTTAGAAAAAAAAATTTCATTTTAGTTTTTTTTTACATTTAATTTTTTTATGTTTTTACTGCTTCATAAAACCTTAAAAGGCAGTCGGAACATTCGAGCAGACTTGTTTTATGGTTTCTTCAAGTTAAGTCTTAAGTTAACCTAGTTTGAGAGAAGCATGTTTAAAAGCTCGTTTCAAATGGGCAGTAAATAGGCATGCTCAGCACAAAAAGCATCGAAAACTCAAAAAACCGGATAAAATTTTTGAAAAACATTTAATTCATGTGAATGAGATTTATCATCAAAATAGATGCATCTTGCAAAATTACTTAGGTATCATTATAATGAGAGACTGTTCATAAAATTCTGTAAAAAATAAAAAGACAGTCAAATTAGAAGGAAATCATAGAATTTTCTTTGAACTCAAAACGTTTCTGAAACACCTACTTTGGAAATGCAAACTATAACAAAAAAGTTATTGTTCCGACGTTCGTAACGAAAGTAACGGAATATTTGTGTGCTCAGGTGGGTTTTTTTTTTCTTCAGACAAACTTCGACTTTTTAACTAGCCATTTTTGACGGTTTTTTTTTACATCATTCAAAGGTATTGATGTCATGAGCTTAAATTTAACTAGATATTTCACCTGTGATCAATTTTTGTAAAATTATGGGATTTAAATATTACCATTTTGGCCAAACTGGGACAATTAACGCGCGATATATTTCGCGCTTTTAACGCGAAGCGGAGATTTAATCCGTCTTAGAAATCGTTTCCAAATTGGTTGAAGGAAGCTTATTTGCCATAATTGATGTTTCACTAGGAGCAAAATTCATCACTTTGTACTCTATATGGCGTGTGGGTGGTATGCTTTTTGCAAAAATATGAAACTAAAAAAAACTATTTCATTTTTTTTACATTTAATTTTTCATGTTATTGCTGCTCCATAGACATTAAAAGGCAGTCGGAACATTCAAGGCCTAGCCCTGATACAAGCAGTTTTGTCTAGTTTTTCTTTTGTCTTCCCCTTATTTCTCTTATTTCTCAAAACAAATTTTTAAGCTTTTATTTTTTGCAGACCTTATTTACCCTTCTTTATATATACTCAGTCTCTGAGAAAAACAAAAAATTTTCGTGAGATTCGGATGTAAAAAAATTGTTGTGAAACCAATCTTGGTCCAATTTGCTATTCTTTTTAGACTTCATCAACTTCAGTTAAACTGCGAAAACTTGAAAACCATAGTTCAGCTGAAAAACTTAGCTCAGATACCTGAAAAACATAGCTCTCACATATAGTTTCCAATTTTTTTCCAGCATTAATAAGATTTAGACGCCTTAAGGTGGCAATCTACCGCCATGATGACACGCCAGAGCAAATATTTACTGCTTTTGATTAACCCTTATGTACAAAAAAATTTCGCTGTTATGAAACGAAAAAGATATTGTTTTTCAAAAAATTTATTGGAAAATATCGATCTCTAAATACTGTAATTAGTTTTCTAAGCAAAAAACAAACACGCTATCAATTTAGTTGAAGAAAGTACAGATTGTGATAGCTATAATTTTCTTTGAAATTAGGGAGCATCTTGTTTTTTACATTTGTCTGTAGTAATTAAATCAACAAACAAATTCTTATCAAACAATACGAGAAAAAAAATCAAACATACGCGTACACTGTAAGCTATACATATTTTTTCAAATAAGAATCTAATGTATTCAAAACCTTGTCAATCCCTTGTCAAAAACCGTGAGTGATCTTATGCAGCTCAACTGTGTCAATTGAGTTGTTTAAATGAAAAATTGGATGCTTTTTGTTCAAAACTGTAACATCGATTTTCATTAATTCAGTAAAGTTTATTTGTTTTCCTATTTATAACTTGCATTTGTTTTTCTGAAAATTGTAATATATATTCGTTCATTTTTTGACAAAAAAATCCTGGAATTTCGAAAAAAAAGCATAGACTTTTTTATCAGCTCTATCGGCTAGTTCATGTATCAAAACACCGTACTATATAAGCGGTTCAATGAAATTTTTGTATTGTCAAAATACATTTTGTAGCTGTATATTTTTTAATAATAACCTTTCCAATTTACTGCTTTCACTTTTGATATGCTTTTTTTCAATCTAATTTTTCGTCTAAAATTACTATGAACCTCATTTCGAGATGAAAAGCTTTCCGGACTTGGTGTCAACATTGTTACCAAATCTTTGTCTTTTTTTTCCAAAAAACAAAGATTTTGCTTCCACACTGGTTTACCGTCAAATGTTAAGATGCCATGCAGCTGGAAATATTGTTCAAAGTAAGGTCATTTTTGTCCTAGGTCATCTGTTCAGCCGCACATGATGGTACCAATAGCAAATACTGTGACAAACGGTCAAATTTGCATTCAAAACAGTGCGCGTTTTTGGTTATAGAGCGCGCCCATTCAAAACAGGATTTTAAAACACCAATATTTTTCAAGCCATACGCTTTTGGCGTATATGCTAAGTGAAAAGAAGTAAAAATAATAAATCAGTCATTTTTTGCAATTTTTTTTTTGTGTGTTTTGGAATTCAGGCGCCACCTCCTGTGCCTATCAAGGAGTCGCCTCACCTGATGATGCCAAACAACCCCCACTACAACAACCAATACGACAGTCTTCACAGTCAACCATACGACCCCACGTGAGTGTGGATAGCAATTCACTATGAAGCAATTTCAAAGAAGAAAGTATTGGCAAAATATTGTCATGATAGTGTTTCAGCAAACTAATTTCGCAAATCTTATTTGGTCGACCTTAACTTGTTAAAACTCTTTAAAAAATTTGGCTCTTCCCCAACGCAATTGCTTCCTTAAAGATTTGCAAAAAGTAAAAAAAAAATGAATATGAAAAAAATATATATATAAAAATACAATTTTCTTTTTTTTTGCCATTAGTTTTGCAAAGATAATTTTATTCAATGAAAACTTTAATTAATTGTATGAAAACTTTGAATTTACCCATTTGCCTGCTTAAACCACGCAAAGAAAATTATGCCAAGTTGAGAAAAAATAAAAAAAATAGAATAAGCTTAAAAATTAAAATATTGGGTGTTTTCTGTCGTAAACTGCACAGTAACCGGATATTGCAATGCTTGCTGTGAATTCTGTTTAATTTTCCAGTGCTGGCTTTGTCATATTTTACGACTTCCTGCTGAACATAGAGCCAGTGTACGATAGAACACAACTGATAGTGTCCCTCTACAATGGACCCCACGAAGTCTGCACTGCCAGAGTGTTGCCGGAGAGAGACTGTTTCCCCCAGAGTGCAACCCCTCAGCCTAATAATCCCCTGGAGTTGCCAACCGCTGGAGGGGCACTCAAGTTCTGCCTGTTGTCTATCAGTCAGCCTGTACAGAAGTCAGTGACCACTTTTCATTGCTTCAACTAAATGATCGTTTTCTACTCACTTGTTCTTGTTTGTCAACATAATGATTACATACAGGGGCGGATCTAGAATTTTCACATGAGTGGAAGGGTGGGTGGGTTTGGCGGATTTTTAAAAAGGGGGCAGCTATTTTTTTGTAAGTTGGCTAAATTGATTTACCGAGCTCTCACAAAGCACCAAAAAGACTATGTTTTGGCAATTTTTGGAATAACAAGCCAAAAAAGGCATTTTTAGCACTTTTTTGAAAAATGTTAACAAAAAAATTGCGTTTTTTCGGCGCGCGCTTCCATCTCAAAATTAGGAAATATTGGCGGCGAAGGCGCCTTTAGAAAAATTTTAAGGTCCGTCAGCTAAAAATTGATATCTCAAATTAGTTCAAAGGGGCGATAGTTTAGTTTATCTCTAAGCCATTCTGCCCTTCTCGAAACAGCGAATCAACTTAATATCGTAAAAAATACAGAAGAAGAAGACAATAACTGCTTCTGCTAGTAAGCTTCAGTGAATGTCTTAAGCCTAAGACATATATCCTTGAACAACTAGTTGTTTTTCTTAGATGTCGCCCTGGGCCTGACTTGACGTTGGTGGTTGAAGTGCAGGCTCAGAGTAGCTACGTGCCCCGACAGAAGACCATTGGGTGGGGTAAGGTGTTGCTGTTTGACAACCAACTGAGGGTGCTAAGTGGCAGGTGGAGAACCCCCATCCGCCTCATCCCCATCCGCGCAGACATGATTGTCAAGGATCTCAACACCATCCCGCAGGTTTTGACAAAAAAACAACCCTATTTATCATATGGAGAATTTTCATATGATTTGAAGCATCAATTTTTCTTAGATTAGATTTAAAAAGGAAATATCTATTACGAGTAAATAAAAGATTTAAATTGATGTTTACGTACCTTCTTACAATAAAATTAAGCTAAAATAAATTTGAAGAAAGACAAGAAATCAGTCAGATAAACAAAAAGCAACAAAAAGCTGCTCGTATTAACCTGATGTGCAATTTTCGATCAATTTATTTGATTTTTTTTTTGCTGGACTTATCCTCCACATAAGTAGTACAATGTGATTTCGAGCTTGGTAAGTTTTATTAAGACCGAAAAAAATGCCTGACCTCAAATTGACATAACTTAAATGTTGCTTGTGCGTTGAAATAAAAAATTATTTTGCGCCTAAACTCAACTAATTTTAGGATAAGAAATCCCATTGAATATTTTGTTTTATTATATCAGCAACAATATTTTTCAAATGGATAGCAAAAACTTCTACTTCTATCAAAAACCACTAATCAAACAATCAAAGTTTGTCAGAATAAAAAAACTAACCCACGCATAAACATTTTTTCAATTTTTTTTCAATTTTGAAAAAACATTAGAGAAAAAATCAATTCGGATTAATGAAAACTTTAATATTTTAGAGCGTGTTTCAATTTAAATTGTTGCTTCTTTGAAATTCTTTATTGGTACAGCTCTCATGAAAAAAACCCTAAAGTATGTTGCTGTAGAAATTGCTTGCTTCAACTGAACTCAGATAATTGATGATGTGAGTGGTTGAGTTTGATCTAGGCTGGTATTAATGAATTGTCTATTTTTCTAAAGTGGCACGTTAGTTACCGGCCTGAGAAAATTAAGTTGGAAATATATTTATTGGGTTTTCAAATCTGAAGAGCAGTCGTTTATGAGATTATTTCATTTTTTAATGCCCAGATAGTTTTTTCTCAGGTGCTATTCTTAAGCGAACCGATTCCGTTGAGTACAACAGCTGGATAGTTTAATGGACTCATAAAAAATGCTTTCCTTAAAAATGTAGCGGTTTTGAGACGGTTTGAAAACGTTGAGAGCAGATGCCATTTTGAAACCATACTCCCTACTAGCTGCTTATAATTTACGCTTTGACCAAATAAAACTTCAAGATTTTTGAAGAAGTATTTTTCTTCAATTCTTTTTGTTTTCTATACAGATGAAATGTCTCATTTTATAGATATTGCACAAAAAATCTGCTATTTTACATTCAGTTTTAGTATATAATCGTAATAAAGGATTTATCGTCTTAAATTTTTTACAGAACCGATTGAATCGCATCTTCCTAGATTTGTTCTTTGCGAAACTCCTAAGAAAATCCTTGATCTTTTATGAGTTGTCAAAATAAAATTTGTTGAAAGACGAGTTTTGAGCCATTTATAATTCATTTTAACAGTTCATCAAACATATCAAATTAATTTTTATTAAACAAATTTTCAAATTTATAACAAGATTGGGAGAAAAAAAATACTTAATTTAGCAAGAATGACTAAGTCCAAGTCTGGAGGATAGAAAAAAGAGGTAGCAAAAATTGGTTTTGGAAATGATTCAATGAAATGTGCTAGACATTACGAGGCCAAACTGTGCATTTTGTGAATGGTAAACAGATTCCGAAACAGGCCAAAATTAGATTTGTCTGGGAATCCGCAACGTTGTTACTTTTCTTTGATGTTCTTTGCTGTTTTGGATTCCACGGACAGATAACTAAAACACTGTAATGCTCAAAAATGCTCCAAAAACAGGCAACTTCGCGGAATCAGCAACAAAATTTGCGGATTCCGGAACAGTTTGTGGAATCTATAAACAAATGATAATATATGCGTTCAGTAGATTGAAGCTGTCGAGGAATCCGCAACTGTAAGTGTAATCAGAAAATGGTAAGTGAAATCCGCAAACTGTTAACGGATTCCGCAAATTGAAAGCAGAATCAGCATAAGTTTGTGGAATCCACTAATTTTTGCGGAATCCGCTTACATTTGCGGAATCCAGAACAACCAGCTCTGTTCGCTCGTTGCGGAATCTGCCACGTAATTTTTGTAAGTGAAATCCACTTAAATTTGTGAACATGTTTAAAGACTTGTCTCGAATGCAGGAACATACAGACACAAAATTGTTTGGCATCGCAATGGAGTGTATTTAGGTTTTTTTCTAGTTCAGTTAGTTTTATCCAGTTTTTTTGACGATTTCAACCAAAAATGTATTCATATACTGTTTTGTTTAAAAATTTTTTAGCTTTTGGTTGATTTTAAATTCAGTGGCTGTTGAAAATTCATTCCAAAGCTGCCCCTCCCCTCTAAATTGGTAAAAACGGTTTTTTTTCTTTGTTTTTAGAAATATTTTTGACAAACCCATTTAGTGTTATGCACTAAACATTTTATTTATAAGTTTGAGAAATTATTTCGTTCTTAACTAGTTATTTGTAGACAGCAATCAATCAAATGGTTAACCAGACGCGGATCTAGGAGTTTTTCGAGGGGGGGGGGGGCGGATTTTCAAAAAAAAACGTTGAAAATTTTGTCGACCTTTTTTTATAGGTTAACCAAAATGATATTCTGAGCTCTCGAAAAAACACTATAAAGACCCTAATTTGACATAATTAGCTGCGCCGCAAGCAAATTTGTAAAAAAACAGTCCAAAAAAAGCCCCCCTAAATCCGCTACAGTGGTTAACAGTGACTTGTTAGGACAAAATATTCCGACCACGTCACTTAAGTGAGGAGAACTAGCTATAGACTAGCTAGTATTTTTTCCGCCCAATTCAAGAAAAGAAGGTTTACCATTCCGAAATAAAATCATTGGGTCTTTTGGTACAAAATCTGGGAGAAATTTCCATTTTTCAGGCGTTACGCTATAATGTTTAAAATTGACCCAAAAATGTCTATTGTGATTGACTAATTAGTATATCTAGAACTATTCCATGCCTCTTACTGAAAAAAATAAAATCAGGAAATTTCAAAAAATGCAACTTTCTATCTCAAATTTAGATCGATAGAGTTCAGGGGATATTTAGGGGGGTGAAGGCGTCTCAAAAAACAGGCCAAAAAAGCCCCCCTTAGAGATTCGACCCCCTGCCGACCCAAAGGTTCCCCCCTGTGTACTACTTTGGGATTTCCATTTTTGGTTAACGGAAGCAAAAATTGTTCTAAAGGTATCTTCGGCTCAACATACACAAATTTTTAGGAGGGGGGGGGGGCGCGCCGAAAAAAAAACGTAATTTTTTGGTCAACATTTTCCAAAAAGTGCCTTAAAATGTCTTTTTTGGCCTATTTTTTCAAAATTTTGTCTTCTTTAATGCTCGGAAAATCACTTTGGTTGATCTAAAAAAAAGGTAGACCAAATTTTTGAATTTTTTTTGAAAAACCGCCCCCCCCCCCCCTCGAGAAAATCCTAGATCCGCCCCTGGTACAAAGTGTTACGAACACAGTATCCCAATATGTTAAAGTTTTATATGCGTAGGGTGTCCTTTATGTTGTGAGCAACCAAATTGGAAACATTTCTTCCAGTTAAAACCTGGTCGGCGGCTCTTGTTCATTTTTTCTTAAATTATTAAAATATGAATTTTATACTTACGACTTAAGTGGCAGTAGCAATAATACCAGTCTCGATCTCATGCGAGCTTGCCCAAGAGTGGCATATGTTCTGCATAGAATTAATTGTTTAAGTGTGGTATGATGGAGCTGTACTACCGGATTGCAAACTACAGAGACGCAGATGTACAGGCGTCAGTCAAGATCAGTCCCCTAAACTGCACCGAGTACAAGTACTCCCCACAGGTAACCACAACTCCTTTCATGATAGTTTAAACTGGCGAATCTCTCGCTGGCTCTAAAAATATTGAACTAACCAAAATTTTGTTGAATTAATGGAAAGTTTTTTAAAATTCCTACAACATTTTTTAAGGAGCAAGTAAATTTTAATAGCTAGTTTTTAATCAACTAGTCGGCTAGTTTTTCTAACTACAAGGTTTTTTTTACTAGCCGAATGCTAACTCAAGTTTACACTTTGCGTCTATATGTTGCATTTCAGTCATTCGGCCAACCCGTCTACTACCAGCCAAACCCTAATCCGACTCAAAGAGCTGCTGATCCAGTTGCCGAAGAAGCCCAGCCAGTAGTATCGGGGGATAGAGAAGTAGTACTACCAGAGTACGACCCCAAAGACAAAACTGTTCCCCCACCGCCCTCTTCTAACACCAACCCTCCTAGCTCAGTAACTCGGCCGGCAGGAGCTGTCACCCGACCGGGGGGATCTGTCACGAGACCAGGAGGGGGGTCTGTGACTCGACCAGATAGACCCAGTCCCAAAAAAGACCCCACACGTCCTCCATCTACCACTAGCCCCCCTCCGTCACAGACGGCTTCGGCGTCAAATGCGAGCCCCAAGAAGACCTGAGACTTGCTTCTTTATTAAAAAACCAACCTGAGTTATACTGATGACTATCTTACTAGCTAGACAGGTGAATAAACTGTCTTGCAAAGATTTGAGAAAAAAAAAAATAATTTCGGTATAATAACTGAAGCTACTACTTCGAACTGCTGACCTATCAAAAATCCTCGAGGATTTTTTGAAGTTTAATCAGAGCGCAATTACCCACCAATTCCAGACTGCAAGTTTGGCTCGAAATCAACCATCAGAAAAGACTTCAAGAACCAGTACTGATAAACAAAAAGACCACTCATATAACATGACAGGAACATCTGGCTTCTATGCAACTAACAGCACAAAAATGAACACAAAATATTCGGTTTTACAGTTAAAAAAATCATAATAAAACAATTATTGCTGAACTTGAGATACGCCAAAAAGAAATTCAATGAGTCTGAGAAATTAAAGAGTAAAATTTTTTTTTTGTAAATTGAGAAATGAGAAATAAAGAGTAAAAAGATTATATTTAAAAATTTTTCTACTGATTTACTTAAAATTGATAGCTCTCGGTGATTACCGTTCGACTTTTCACAAAATTATCTACAAAACATTAAGTTTTTTTTCGATAGAGAGGTCTTTTTTGTCGATAGATATTTTAGAAGTCAAAATGATATACAAGATTGCTCGTACCAGGTCGAAGCCCTGAATGTCCCGACTGCCCTTTAACTGGCCTCGAATAGTTTTTGGTTATTGAAATATTGACATACTTTTTTTTGGGCGGACAATTTCAAAAATTGGGCTGAAAATTAGAGTTGTGAATGGATTCAATGAAGTGTGAAATTGACCAATTATCGTGCTATGAACGGTATTATCGAGTGGTAAGTTAAGGGATACCAATTATCGAGCGGTAATTTAATTCGACTAAAAAAACGCTCCGAAATGAATTGACGGGTTCTACTATGATGGAGCGGTCCCTCGAAAAAGCAAATTTGTGTATAAATTTTTTTTAATTTGTTTATATTATAATAATATTTTTATATTATAATAATGTGTATAAATGTTTAGTTTCTAAAACCTCGCGACTTGAAAAAAAAATATAATTGGGTTATCTTTTTTTTGTCATCAGAACTCGAATGTAGCATTTTTTTCTATTTTTCTACCTTAAAATAGTCGGGTAAGGGGGAGAAGTTGTACAAAATCACGAAACATAAAATTTGTTGGAAAATATACTGCGGTATCTTCCTGCAAATAACTTAGGTGCCTTATTCTCCCGTTCTGGGTAACTTAAGAGCTCTAGGTGCCTTATTCTTAAGGGACTTTTTTTCTTTCAAGATACCACGCAATCATAGTAATAATAATTCATGCAACATGTTTGCCTTTAATATTACGCTAAATACATGGCTGAAAACGTTAAATTATTTAAAAGTTTTCATCAAAAATCAATAAATTATTTGAAAGTCATTAAGAGACAATCGGCACATACAACGTACCAGTTTCTAACAAACATCCTTGCTGTTCCGACTTTCGAAGAAGTGTTAGAATTTTTGTGCGCAGGCTGGTCTTTTTCTCCACAAAAATTTTGTAACTATCCATTTTAATTGATTTTTGTTTTCCGAAAGGTATTGTTGGTCGAAAGGAATTCATCGGTGATCTTTTTTCGTAAAATTTTGAGGTTTCAAAGACTGCCAATCGAGCCCATAAAAATTTTTAACGATTGACATGTTTCGTGCTACTGACGCGTAAACGGCAATTTAATGCGTCTTTGAAATGCTACAACGTGACTTGAAACATGCTGTTTAATCTATTTAATTTTTCGTGATAAGCAAAAAAATATCTTTTTGCACTTTTATAGCGTTTGGGAGATAGTTTTAGAAAACTCAAACAGTACTCCATAGATCTAAAAAGGCAGTCGGAACACTCAGGGCTTCGCCTCAAAACGAACAGGTTTGCTTTTTTGATTTTCCAATTAATAGCAATCATTTTTAAATTGTAACAAACTTTATTTCATTTAGTTTAAAAAAGCATGGAAATGATGAAACAAATTTTCTTTCCAGATTCCGAGAAGCTACCACAATTCCGGAGGTAGTTCTATTGGTCTTTTTCCATTAAGCAGATTATCAATTTTTTCTTGTAAATCTTTTTTTTACCTAAAGATTTTTTTAGATTTACCGAAATAAAAATTTTGATATAAAATTCTGATTCATAAAAAAACTCTAAAGCAATTACAAGATTTTAATGATTTGAACCTACTTTTAGAAAGCTGCTTCCTCAAAAAATTTGAGAGTTCAAAACCACTGTTAATTCTTCAAGCAGTATTTCTACCTTGTTGACCCTGATATCGTCTTGATGAATTTGCACATTTAATTTAAAAACAAACCCCTCATAAGCATTGTTGATGTTGAAATGTAAATCGTATTTCAAAAAATGTACCGGTTGTCGGAAACTTCTCAGCTATTTAAAGATTTTTCAATGGGAAATATTTTAGCCGAAATGGTTTTTGAGGCTTGATCAAATTTTCTTGCCTTACTTCTCTTACTATATAATTTAATAATCATCGTATCAAGCCATTTTAACCAAAGCATGAAACTATGTAAAGCACGGCACACCCAAAAGTAATTGCAATCAAAACAAACAATTGATACATGAGTGAGCCGTCTTGTTGACTTGCAAAGAAAGTGCAAAATATTTATGTTTAGGGTGTTTTTTGTTCAGCCAATTTTTGCCATTTTTTATAGCATCTGAAAAACAAGGTTGTCTTGAGCTCAAATTGAAATAATTATTTCACTTGCGATTATTTTTCGTAAACTTACGTGGTTTTGAAAACTGCTAGTTTGGCCAATTTGGGATAATTAACGAGCAAAATGCTGGGTTTTTATAGCAGGCAAAAGTGGCGAACTAATTTTTTCTAAATTGATATGAGGCCAGAAAGTATTTCTTAATAAAACAACACGAGACGCTTAACACACCCCTTGTATTTTACATTGCGTAGAGGGATAAAATCAAGAAAATTTGAAAGGATTTTTTTCTTTTTTTTGCCAATTAAACAAACAAAAACCTTTTAATTCATATACGCGCAGTCTTGTTGTAAAATTATTGGGTGTTGAAAATTATAACTGGATTAACTTACGATATATAGCGTTCTTATAACACGGGTAAGCGGCAATTTGAAAATGGTAACTTGCCCATTTGGTGTAATTAACGTACGATATATTGCGTTCTTATAACACGGGTAAACGGCAATTTAATGCTTCGCAAGTTCTTATAACACGGGTAAGCGGCAATTTATTGCTTCGCAACTTAATACGAGGCCAGCAATTTTGCTAAAGTTATTACCTTGTGTACCTTACATAAGTTTTGAGGGTTGAAATCGTTAAAAAAGAAAGAAAATTTGTTCCATGTTTTAAAATTTGTTTGGCCAATTTTAAAAACAAATTAATTTTTTAATTGGTCGAAAAGTAAATCGGAAGATGCAGCGCTTCGTTTGATATACGCTTGTTGCAAAATTATGTGGGTTTGAAAATGTAACCTGGCTCCTTTTGAATAATTAACGTGCGACATATTGTGTTCTTATAACACGCGTAATCAGCAATTTAAAGCATTCCAACTTGTTATGAGGCAATCAATTTACTCCTACTAAAATAATAGAGGGTTTAAAGCACCCTCTAAGGTATACAAATTTTTTGGGGAAATAAGAAAATGAAAGATTATTTTTAAATTATTTTGTCAGTTATACAAACGAAAAGTTTTTAAATTGGCCTTAAAGTACAATAGGAACATTCAAGGCTTCACCGTATTATACGCACAGTCTTGCTGTAAAATTATGGGAGTTTGAAAAATGCAAAGTGGCCCTTCACGCGCATTATTTTGCGTTCTTATAACACACGTAAGCGTCGTAATGCCTTCCCAATTGAGTTGAAGAAAGTCATTTGGTCAATTTATTAGGAAGCATTACGCTGAATCTATCCTACTGTAGTTCAAAGTAGTGTGTGTAGATTCTTAACGTTCAAATTAGCGGCTGTCAACAATTTTTAGGCTTTTTGAAGTTTTTTGTCATTTTTTCAACCCAAACAGAATTATAATTGGCCTTAAAATGCAGTAGGAATTTTCAAGGCTTTGCCCTGAGATACGAGCAGAGTTGTTGTTCTGACTTTCCTTGCAAAAAGAGTTTTAATGCTTGGTGTGTTTTTTCAATTCAAAATTAAAAGATTTTTTCTTTCCAATCTTTTTTGCAAAGTTTTGGGAGTTTGAAAATAGGCAATTTGGCCATGCTTTAGATTACTTTATGCGCGCTTTGAAGATTTATCCACAACCCTAAAAACGTAACGCTAATTAGTTTTGCGTGGCAAATGATCACGCACAACAAAATTGTTCCAAAAAGAATTTTTGCGAGCTCATTGGTCGTATTATATTCGTACGACTCACATTATTAGACTAGACTTGATCTTTGATATTGTCCATAGTTTAGGATTTTTCAATATTTTTCCTCAAAACTATTCGATATGGATTAGGGCGCAGTCAGAACATTCAGGGCTTTTCCCTGATAAGCGAGCTAATTTGTTACTTTCTAGAATCGAACTTTGAACTAAGGCTTTTGACTGATAATGTACTCAAACTCATCGGACGTTTTTGGGGTAACTAAATGAGGTAAGTAGAGTTTTGTCAGACCAAACAAAAATGGCTTTCAAGTTTTATCCACACCTCTCTTCAATTGGTGAATTAATATAGAGCATATGAAGTTATTTTTCTCTCCCCCCTGGAATTTTTCAAATCAAGTTCAGTTGAACTTTTTGAAAAGACAGCTGTAAACAAAAGAGCAAACCAGAAGCTAAATGCAATCGGTCCCCACAGATTCTTACTCGTCCTCTGTACCCTTCTCCAGTCCCCTTAGATCCTGGTCTCCGATCAAGAACAAATCATTAGTCGCTGCCCCGAGGCTGTTCGTTATAACAGCGCAAAAACTATTTTATCTGATTATTGTTCCGACTATTTGCGTTCTTCGCGCGTCAATTCGAAGAAAATGATGGAAAATTTGTGCTCGGGGCGTTTTTTTTTCAGACAAATTAAATCATTCGACAGGTATTATTGTCATGAGCACAATTGTAAAAGATATTTCAAATGTGATCTTTTTCAAGAAAAGTATGAGGGTTTAAAGGTTGCCAATCTGGCAGATTTGGGACAATTAACGCGCGTTATATATCGCGCCATTATTGCGCAAGCGGAGATTTAATTCGTCTTAGAAATTGTTTCAAATTGAACCATTTAGTACTTGAAATAAGGCGAGGGGGGATGAAC